AGCCCAAGAGTTTGAGGTTGCTGTGAGCTGTGATGTCATAGCACTCTATACAGGGCAACAGCTTGAGACTCTGTCTCCAAAAATAAAAAATAAATAAAAATAAAAAAGAATATTAGTAAGCCAGAGGAGCTAAACTGATGGCTACTCATGATTTAATTCTAACTCTGGCCGCATGACTAGTGCCACCACCACCACAGGAGGCTGCTTGGGGAGGTTTTAGGTCAAGAACACCAGTTTATTATCAACTTTTAACAAACTGGTGCATGATGTTTCTGTTTGAAGTGGAATTTGCAAATAGCTGCACAGCTTGACACTATTTTGTAATTCCACCTGCTTAATAGCCCATCATGTCAAAGAGCAAGAGAACAATGAAGAAAGAAAACAGATTTGTTAATGAGGATTGGGAATTGGAATATTATCTTATTTCTGCTAAAGATGAGATGATTTGCTTGCTTTGTGAGATTGCATTATCAACATTAAAGAAATTCAATGCTCATCAGCACTAAATATTTTAAATTAGAGGGAGAGGTGCAAAAGATTGTATTGCAGAAATGAAGAGATGAAAAGCAAAAGCAAAGGCAATCCTTTCAAGCAGAAATAAGACCTGGGAATAATGCCTTTGAAGCAACTTATAAAGTAGCTTACATAAGTGGGAAACGGGAAGCCATTCTGTGATTAGAAATTGTGAAAGAAATCATTGTCACAGTTGTAGGATGCTTAGACCCCAATAACGTTTAAAAGTAAAAACAGTAGAAAACAGCCTAGCAATTTCTCAAAAAGCTAAATAAGGAGTTACCATATGACCAGCAATTCCACTCCTAGGTGTTTATTCATGAGAAACAAAACATTTCCCCGTATGAATACTTGTACACAAATGCTCATAGAAGCAGTATTCATAAAAGCCAAAGGAAAAACAACCCAATCATCCATCAATCAGCAAATGGATAAACAAAATGTGATATAAGATTTTGTATACTTCTATACTATTTAAACTTTTTTATTTTTATTTATTTTTTATTCTTTTGAGACAGAGCCTCAAGCTGTCCCCCTGGGTAGAGTGCTATGGCATAGCTCACAGCAACCTCCAACTCCTGGGCTCAAGCGAGTCTCCTGCCTCCGCCTCCCAAGTTGCTGGGACCACAGGCGCTCACCACAACGCCTGGCTATTTTTTTTTTCTTTTTGGTTGCAGCCATCATTGTTGTTTGGCGGGCCCGGGGTGGATTTGAACCCGCCACCTTAGGTGTATGTAGCTGGCGCCTTAGCCACTTGAGCCACAGGTGCTGAGCCCCTATTTAAACCTTTTACAAAGCTGGAATGTTCTCAGGGAGACACCTGTGGCTCAATGAGTAGGGCACTGGCCCCATATACCCAGGGTGGCGGGTTCAAACCTGGCCCTGGCCAAACTGCAACAAAAAATAGGCAGGTGTTGTGGCGGGCACCTGTAGTCCCAGCTACTCGGGAGGCTGAGGCAAGAGACTTGCCTAAGCCCAACAGCTAGAGGTTTCTGTGAGCTGTGATGCCACAGCACTCTACCAAGGGAGACAAAGTGAGACTCTATCTCTAAAAAAAAAAAAAATAAAATAAAATTGAACAATAAAATTAAAAATTAAAAAAGGGCTGTGACTCAAAGGAGTAGTGCGCTGGCCCCACATGCCAGAAGTGGTGGGTTCAAACTCCACCCTGGCCAAAAAAAAAAAAAGCTGGAATGTTCTCAACACAAAATAATAAATTAAATGGTAGGCTGGGGGTCATGACTTAATGCCTGTAATCCTAGCACTCTGGGAGGCCAAGGAGGGTGCATCGCTTGAGCTAATGAGTTTGAGACCAACCTGAGCAAGAATGAGACCCTCCCCTGTTAAAAATGAAAAACTGAGGCAAAAGGATCACTTGAGCCCAAGAGTTTGAGGTTGCTGTGAGCTATAACACCACAGCACTCTACCAAGGGCAACAAAGTGAAACTCTGTCTCAAATAAATAAACAATAAATTAATTAGTAAAAAATATTGTTAGAGTGGGCAATGCCTATAGCTCAGTGGGTAGGGTACCGGCCACATACACCGAGGGTGGCGGGTTCAAACCCAGCCCAGGCCAGCTAAAACAACAACAACAACAACAACAACAAATAGCCAGGCGTTGTGGCAGGAACCTGTAGTCCCAGCTTCTTGGGAGGCTGAGGCAAGAGAATTGCTTAAGCCCAAGAGTTTGAGGTTGCTGTGAGCTGTGATGCCACGCACTCTACTCAGGGCAACAGCTTGAGTCTTTGTCTCAAAAAAAAAAAAAAAATATATATATATATATATATATTTAGATCAAGCCAGTAATTCCAGTTATTCTTGACAGATGTTTCATCAGGCACAGTCTTCTAGATCTCAGGCTTTAGCACTTTTTTGGCAGCTATCAAAGCAGAAAATATATTTATGTCTTTTTTTTTGAAGACACAATCTCACTATGTTGCCTTCGGTGGAGTGATGTGACGTGACAGCTCACAGCAACCTCAAACTCTTGGGCTTAAGCAATTCTCTTGCCTCCGCCTTCCAAGTAGCTGGGACTACAGGTGCCTGCCACAATGGCTGACCAAGAAAATATATTTATGTCTTAACCCAGTATACACGTATATAATGGACATCAAAATTTCAGGAAACTCTACTTAGCCTTACTTTGTACAATGCAAAACTCTTGCTATTTTCTATTCTTATGTCTTTTGTTTTTGTTTATTATTGTCCTTTACACAACACCCATACACTGATTTCTGCACTGAGAGTTTGAAAATGTGTCCACTGCCAAGTTTGTCTCTTATCCTCTGGGTAAGACACAGTCACAGGCCTGGATCCAATGCTAGAGCCACTGGATACTGCTTGTTACCTAAATCTTCCCTGGGCCCCAAGCCTGCTTCTCCCCACTGTCAGCTGCTGTGCTCAGTCCTTGGCCAGAATCCCGGCTGGAAGTGCCAGCAGGTCTGGCCAAGTCACTGGCCTTTGGGGAGGCCAGAATGTTGCCAGGGAAGGGGACAGAACCACAGCCTCAGCCTATAGACTTCCAGGCAGTGTAGCCCTGTGGTTAAGCTCAGATTCCATCCAGGTGTGATGGCTCATACCTGCAATCCTAGCACTTTCAAATGCTGGGGCAGGAGGATTACTTGAGGCCAGGAGTTTAAGACTAGCCTGAGCAATGTCATGAGACTCTGACTCTACAAAAAAAGGAAAAATCTGATGGGTGCTATGATTCATACCTATACCCCCAGCTGCTCGGGAGGCTGAGACAGGAGAGTCACTTCACCAAGAGTTTGAGGCTGCAGTGAACTATGATCATCCCACTGCCCTCATAACCAGGCAACAAAGCGAGACCCTGCTTGTCAGCTGAGGGGCAGAGAGTGCGCATCCTGGCTCTGCTGTTAGTAACCTTGCCAAATTAATTTGTCTCACCAACTTCTCCATTTTATAGTGGGGGAAGCTGAGTGGGAATGTGGCCTAAATGGGGTTCCACAGCTAGATCACAGGGGAATTAGAACCAGAACCACAGCCCTTGGCCATGTCCCCCCACAGACCTGACGCTCTCCTCAGCCCTGGGAAACAAAGCAGCTGCAGACAAGCAGCTGTGACCTTCCTGGCACAGTGCCTTTTAAACAGCAGGCACTTGGTATGCATTCCAGAACCAAGAGACTGTGATCTGTTTTATGGCTTTTAAGTTGTCAAAAATTTGCTCTTAAGGCAGCTGTGGCAGTGCCTATTAACTGTTCCCCCAAACCTGTTCACTCTTTCTTCTTTAATAAAAGAACTACTGGTTTTTGACTAAGCACATGAATAAGGTCTACATGTCCCAGACTTCTTGGCAGTTAGGTGAGACTATGTGATGAGGTTCCAGGGTGTGTGCAACTTAAGGGGAGGGTTCTTAAAGGAAAGGGAGTGTGCCTGCCTGCTTTCCCTCCTTCCTGCTACCTGG